GGGGGCTGCTTGCAGGCATTCAGAGGGAGAAACACAGAAAGATTATTTCTTACTGGGGAACGCTTTTAAAAAGAAGCAAGGCTTACCTGGCGTGATGACTGCAGTCCTGAGCCTCTTTCCCCACCCCCACCCCCGTTTTCCCAGTGCTTGGAAAAGTTACTTTTTGGTACGATGTCTCTTGGGATGGCCCGGTCAGAGGCAAAGAGTTTGAGCAGCCCAGAAAAAAGTCCCTTTAGGTGATCACGGACAGCCTGCAGAGAGGGCAGAAAAGCAGAAAGTGCCCTTTGCCTTGGCATCGCTCGGTTTGTCAGGCAGAAGTTGCAAAAAAATAAAATAAATCAATTTATTTTTTTCCGATTGCCATCTTGGTGGCACCTCTTAGCTCTTAGGGGCAAAAGGTGGCTTTCCCAAGAAAAAAGAAGCAGAAAACGGAGATAAGAAAAAGGGCATTTGTTGCTCACAATCTGTCTAGCAGGGACCTCATCATCCTCATCATCACCACCACCAGCATAACGGTAGAAGTGTACAGCTGGAAGGGATCTCCAGCCCCTTTGTCAAGGAGCTCCCGTGGGGAATCAGACTTCCAACCTCTGGCCTTGCAGCCAAAGACCTCAATCACAGAGCGATCCAGCAGTTCAAGCATCACCTTAGAATGACAGAGCTGGAAGGGACCCTGCGGGTCATCTAGTCCAGCCCCCTGTCGAGGAGGCCCACCCGTGGGGGGAATCGAACTCCCAGCCTGGTGGGGAAGTTGGGAGTCTGAAAAAGTAACTCATCCATCCCTGAATGTTTGTTTAGTTCGGCTGGATGCAAAATTCAAAGCCAAGGCAATTTGGATCGCTGATCGACAGAAACACCAGTCAGGAAAGAGTGAGCAGCTTATCGTAGCTGTGCAGATCACGACAACTCCTGCAGGTCAAGTGCTGAGTGGTTCGTTCACAACAACCCTGCAGGGCTGGGCTGAAACTCGGAAAGGCGCATACGCCGCTGGTCCGGCGGCTGAGTTTCTTTTCCTTTCCTACTCGCTCACTCCACCCCTGTGGTGTGGGCCTCCTATTACCGTTGCACGCCACATGGGGTCCCGAAGTGGGTTGGGGCCCGTGGCCACCTCGCACTCTGATCTTTCTCAGGTGGCCACTAGGGCCAATCTGATTCAGGGACGGATCCGGACACTTTGTTGTCATTATTCTGTGCCGTAAAGTCAATTCTGACTTATGGCAACCCAACGAATGAGTAACCTCCCGAAATGCTCTTTTGTCAAGAGCCCTGCATTCAGGTCTTGCAAAATGAAGGCCGTGGCTTCCCTTAGGGAGCCAATCCATCCAATATCCCACCCTCCTCTTTTCCTGCTTTCCCCCCTAATATCCCTGTCTCTTCCATGGAGTCGTTTTACCTTCTCCTGATAACAACGATGGCCATTTTCACTTCTAGAGAGAGGCTGGGTTTGATTGGATCCAGGACCCACTTAAAGGACTTACGCTCCCCATTTTGCGCATCGACGATGAGGAAACTGAGGTAGATAGGCCATGTCATATCCCTTGGTTCATTCCTCAATCCAAGTGGAGATGGGAGTGAAGAAATAAGAAGACGGCTGAGACTCGGATGGGCAGCCATGAAGGAACTAGAGAAGATCTTCAGGTGCAAGGATGTGTCGCTGGAGACCCAGATCATCCACATTCTTGTATTTCAGATCACCAGGTATGGGCATGAAAGCTGGACAGGAAAGAAAGCCGACAGAGAGGGGAAAAAATGGATTTATATGAAATGTGCTGCTGGAGGAGAGCTTTGCCGATACTCAGTCAAGCTATCTCTGGAGGTAAACATGTGCTCACTGGAAGGACAGATCCTGAAGCTGAGGCTCCAGTACTTTGGCCATCTCATGAGAAGAGAGAAGACTCCCTGGAAAAGACCCTGATGTTGGGAAACTGTGAGGGCAAGAGGAGAAGAGGACGACGGAGGATGAGATGGATGGACAGGGTCACCGAAGTGACCAACGTGAATTTGACCCGACTCCGGGAGGCAGCAGAAGACAGGAGGGCCTGGCGTGCTCTGGTCCATGGGGTCACGAAGAGTCAGACATGACTAAACGACTCAACAACAACAAACGTGTGGAAACTGAGGCTTGTCCCCCTTTGGGCTCCTCCTGAGAAGGCCGGATTCTCTGGAAAAGACCATGAACGCTGGCACAGGTAGAAGGGCAGCCGGAAAAGAGGAAGGCCAAATACGAGATGGACTGACTCCCTCAAAGAAACCACAGACTTGAGTGTGCAGGAGCTCAGCAGGGCTGGTGGGGCCTGGGCATTTCGGAGACGGCTCATTCAGAGGGTTGCAGAATTCACAAAATAGCATGTGTCAGGATTGGTCCTCTTTTGGGGCGGGGGCCTGGTTGATTGCCATTCTGGACAACCAAGAATAATTGTGGTCGTGGGAGGATCTGAGATATACGAGAGAGATGTACGAGAGAATAATTGTGCCTATGAGCATCTGATTTCACCCTGCCTGAATTCTTCTGAAACTGAACTTTTTTCTGATCCAAAAGGACTCCCAAGCTCACTAGGTACACTTCTAAGTGCTTAATTCTTTTTAAACCTACATTGAAAACAAGATCACACCCAAATACAGGCCCAGGCCAGTAGCACTCATGCCGAGCTGTCCATCACATGTGGTTCGAGTTTTGTTTTATCGTTCCATTCATGCGGTCCCTGCCTGAATGCTGCCACTACCGATGAGGACTGGAAACTTGTGACACGTTGAGTAGACTCCACGCCCGGCCGGACTCAGTACCTCCCGCATCTCCAGGCAGCATCAGTGAGCTTATTACATATTCCACAGCAGCCCGAGGGATTCCTTCTGCAAATATCTTTCGGGCCCCCCGAATTAATGAGATTCAGATCGGGAGGGGATAATTTTGTCCTCGCCATGAAGTTCGTCTTTGGAGCAGCGGGAAAGGATTCCTGAAATACCAGCCCATTCAATTTCGAGCGCAAAAACAATGATTCATATCAAAGGGCCGTAGATCAGCCGCTGGCATCTCGCCCTTTAGAAAAGTTCCTTTTTTTTTTTGCACAATAACTTTCAGATTTTCCCCGGCCCGCCTGGCCACGGGTAATTCTGCGAACTGGAACTAACCCCCCCACCCCAAAAAAAAACACCAGTGTGTCTCCAAATTACATCCATAAACTGCATGGTGTCCTTTTGCTCAATTTGTTGGTGGCTGAACCCGGGGCCAGGTTTCGGGGTGGGGTGAAGGACGCAGGTTGTGGATGGCCGAGCCTTTGGTTCAATGTGGCAAGAAGGCCACAGCGGTGTGACGCCCGACGCAGGTGATTCCTCTGCCCCCCAGGTGGGCTGGCGTAAGCAGGCCGGCGGCCACAATCTCGGGAGAGCCGCACGGAAATTAATTGCGTCAGCTCAACAATGACTCCGTCCCCAAGGAAGGAGGATCAGCTTGGGTGAAATCGACCAGCCAGAAAGGGCCAATTCTTCACCCGCTCATGGACTGTCTGTGAAAACATGTCAGGTATGCGAGAGCAATCCTTCGGGTGTATCTGCACTGCACCGGCGCAAACAGAGTGTGCCACAATAACTGTCCTCCACGCTCAGGCAGCCTGGGCTTTGTAGTTTGGTGAAGCAGTGGAAGATGGGCCATTAGGAAAGTGGGAGGAAGCCTGTGGTTGCTGTCACAGAATCATAGAATCATGGAGTTGGAAGGGGACCTCTAAGGCCATCTAGTCCAACCTCCTTGCTCAAGACAGGGATCATGCCCATTCCAACTTATGGCAGACACTAACAGATGTTCCAAGGAGGGTTTTTTCCATTGCCACCCCTCTGGTGATTTTCTGTGGCCAAGTATGGGTCTCTAGAGTCCTTCGCTCTATCCACTGCTCCGCACTGCCTCTCTCTTGTGCATGAGTTGCACTGATGCGCTGCCTTTTCCTCCAGGGAGCTCGAGGTGGTGTGCATGGCGGCGCTCCCTAGGGCTTCCTCTCCCCTCCTGTCCTGTGAGGTAGGTCAGGCTGAGAAGCTGAGGCTGGCCAGAGGCCACCCTGTTGACTTGCACGGCTGAACTGGGATTTGAACTCAGGTCTCCCAACACTCGACACCTGCACACACCACACTGGGTCTGGAAACCTACGGAGCATCGAAGGCTTCTCTGATTCCCTTCCTCCCCCAGACCCTTCTAGCCGGTGTTTTAGAACCGTCAACTTGGAAGGGCACCCCGAGGCCATCAAGCCCAACCCCTAGCAGTGCAGGAATCCGGAAATCCGAAGGACCCCAGACAGGGCCACCCAAACAGCACCAGTCGAGGCGAGGGAGCCCCTTCCACGGCCCGGCCCCTTTGCCCATCTATGGCAGCTCTCTTCCTCCAGCTCCATTGGGGAATCTCCTTACCTGCACGAGGGCAGGTCTATTCCTCCAAGGTGGCCCCTGACCCTATGAACCAACATACTATCCCCAACCTCTCCTGCCCTGCTCCGCTCTTGCAAACCCAGGGCCCTTGGCTTCCTTTACAGAGCGAGTCCATCTCGTATTCAGTCTTCCTCTTCTCCTGCTGCCTTCCACCTTTCTGGTCTCTTCCAGGGGTAATTCCTGCCTTCTCCAGGCTGGGCCGGCACAGAAAGCCGGCTGCCTTTCCCACCTGGCGCCCAGGTAAGATCCTGTCTTTTTTGCAGGGAGAGGGGGGTGTTTCCCTTCCCTTCTTGCTGCCTGGGGGGATGCTGGGATCTGTAGTCCCAGAAGACCCCCCGATCTGTGCAGGAGGCTCCTGGGTTCCCCCCCTTCCCCTTTCCACCGGCTTTTTTGGGGACACCGAGCGCTTTTTTCCTCCCCGGTTCCCTTTCCCCAGCCAGGGAGGGAGGGAGGGAGGGGCGAGAGAGCGGCTCCTCCAGCCC